CGCGGTTTTGCATTATCTTGATACGCGGTTTTGTACTTTACAACGACGATATGTATGTACAGTATTTGAAATGAATGCTCTTGCAAACACGGCTTTAAAGTAAGTTCACTAAGGGCCGGTTGCTCAAAGCCTGGTTGACACTAATCATCGATTAACATCGTTATCGACGTTTTCGACTCCATTCAAATAACATGGTGTCGGTAACGTCGATAACGATGTTTAACCGAGGATTAGTGTCAACCAGGCTTTGAGCAACCGGCCCTAAGAGTCACAGAATAACCTAAAGGCGAAATACACAACAAAAGCGACTTGACAAACCAAGCGAAATATCACTTTGCTTCAAACCATTTGTATTGAGTATGGAGTGTTTGAAGGTTTGACAAGCTGTTTAAGGGCAATTTGAACAAAAATTAAAATTTTTTGATCTTCTGGCCGCCATTTGCTGTGCGTTAAAAAGTAGGTTTGGCGAAATGGGAAAAGTAGGTTTAAAATATGTTTGACGTGCGGTTTATTTCGCGCCCTTAAGACAAGAGTCCAAAAGTAGCGATTTATGAGACCAATAAGAGTCATTTAAGAGCCCCAAAAAGAGTTCAAAATGAGCCGTAGATGAGGCCAATAAGGGTCCAATGTGACTCATATTGAGGCTCATTTGATATATGAATTTAAGCTCATATAAGCTCTTATAACTGGAAGAAGGGAAACACCTTCATTTTGGACTCTTAAATGAGCTCATTATGAGCGTAAGGCTCCGAAATAGGACTCCTTAACGAGAGCTAGCCTGAAAAGGGGCGGTACTGGTTCTTCATCCATCCCAACTCAATGCTTTCAACTGCCTTTTTTGACATGGCGATGTCCTACGAAGTGACAATTGTGGCCCTATGGAGAACTTTTGAACTTGTTCTGAGCTGACTCTGGCTTAGATGGTTCTTAGACAGTTCATATAACAACAGTTCCTAGATAGTTCAAAAAGGGTCACCTCCGAGCTAGAAAAAGTGTGGTTAGTTTTGAGCTGGTTCTAAGAAGTATAGTATAGAAGCCTTTTCTTTAAATAAGCACGCATAAAATTTTGTAAATAAAAAATAACTCACTTTATTTATTTTTCGGCCAGTTTTCAAAATATCTTTTTGTTATTTTAGGAGCTTTTCCGGCCGGTAGTTTAAAAAAGCAAAAACAAGTTTCCTTTTTTCCTCCTACGCGTTTCGGCGTTGTTTTTCGCTTTCTTCAAGGAGTCTGTTTTTATTTATTTGGAAAAGAAAACATAAAAAACACAACCATTAGATACAATGTTACATATTGCAGTATGGAAACAAACACATACACATATACAAATACAATTCTTCGACGGTAACACTTACATCTGTACATTTACATCACATTTGACACAATAATTATTTTAACATATTTAACTTTGACATCACTAATAAATAACTATTAATAAAAATATCACAGCCTAATGTTTATTATCGCTCATCTGCTCGTCGAATGTGTGCAATTGCATATCGGGCAGCAATTGGACACATTCGTCGAGCAGATGAGCGATAATAAACATTAGGCTGTGATATTTTTATTAATAGTTATTTATTAGTGATGTCAAAGTTAAATATGTTAAAATAATTATTGTGTCAAATGTGATGTAAATGTACAGATGTAAGTGTTACCGTCGAAGAATTGTATTTGTATATGTGTATGTGTGTTGTTTCCATACTGCAATATGTAACATTGTATCTAAAACTATGTTCCCATTGGAGTAATTTAGAGGTCAATCTTAATTTACGCATAAATAAAGTACAAACTAAGTAATTTCGCCTTGTAAAGTCCCTCAGTAAATTAAGATGAAAGTACGTAGTTTATCTTAAACCAAGAACCAAATCACGAACAAATCAGTGTCGGCTCTAATTTTATCGATAATAATCGAAAAAAGTATTGTCCCACAACTGATATGTCATTGTGTTTTGACGTTTTTGTTTTTGATAATCGCGCGTGGTAGTTTGTAAAATATTTCCAGAAGCTTCTCTTTTGATCACTCATCTAAAATCTAAAAAATTACCACAAACAACTCAGAATATAAAAATATACGCAATTACTCACATTCGCGATCTCTTTTCGTTAAATAAACAATAACACAGGGTTGCTACAAAGCTGTCAAGACAAATAAAGAAACGCGTGTATGAACGCACTTAATTTAGTGAGGTATTTTAAACGAAACTAAGTATTTTATGTTGGTAATGTGAACATATTTGTTTAATTGCGGCAGGGACTCAAACTTCGCCAAAAGTCAAATTTTACTGCTCAATAAATGACTATAAGTGACCATAAATTCAATGTGCAGGAATGGTATTTTCAAAGATAGTAGTCGAGGGTTCTTGCTTTAATCTAAGCCTAAGTGGAAGGTTCTATCACCTTTTTACTCTTTGCTAGAGCTTCTCAAATATTGCAAAAGCCCGATTTTTTGACACTTTGACCTCGATTTTCTCAAAACCTGTACGTGTTGGATCCTTTGTACTTACGGATTCGTAATCAGCACAAAAAAGTCTATCAAAAATAGCTTTAACATTTGTCGCACCAACATTTTTTCTCATTTTTGTTGGCCTGTGTTATTTTATATATACAGAAGATATACATATGTACATATATATGTACATACATATGCACATTAATACAATAGGGGTATTCTCGAAGTCTTGTACGAAGCACGGATTGCGCGAAATGCAAAAATACTATTCCCAATTTCGAAGAGTACGAGAGCACCCCATTGCAAAGAGGAAGCATGCATGGGTAGCAAGCAGCGAAATTATGTATTAAATACAATAACAAGAGACAGCAATAAAAAATAGAAATAGAAATAGAAATATGTAGCTATTCCAACAACAAAACAACTAGCACAGGGTCGCATTTATCTTGCCATGCTATTTTGCAAAATATATACATAGGTTTCGATGTTGCATCAATCCGTGCTACGTGCAATAGGTTTGCAAGATTTGGAGAATACCCCTAATATTTAATCTGATTATTACAAGAACTGAAAAAACACAAATAATACTTATTACATTAAATACTAACTAAAATTGGAGTACAAATATCGATCAGTAATAACAAATTCAAACATTATATATATGTACATACATATGTATAAACATCCTTTTATATGATCCACAAGATTTGTGTGGCGAGGATGCTTTCCTGGAAAAATTATTTGACTTATATTCACCTGGGAGCGCAGCAAAACGATTCACGCCTTAAAAAATTTCCGGCAAGACCCAGTACAAGTTCTGGATTGGCAACGATAGAACTTAGACGCCGGCCCCGAAATCTGAAATATAGGCTGACTTCCAAAACGTATCAATACAATGTTTGGAAACTGTTATACTGCGGTATTCAAACTGTTTGTTAATACAGAGTTGCGACTCATTGCAATCTTATACATTGCATATTTTATTAAATATTCAATTTAGCAATGAACAATTTTTCAGAATTTTCCATTTTCAAAACACCAATGGTAACCAGAAACAAACGAAGCATCAACCAAGGAGTATTCAATAGGTGATAGCAGTACCCTTTTATTTTTCTTCGCCTCACGGCTTCATATGTCAAATGGGTGCTGTTGATTGGTTGGAGCAGCTGATTGTTTATTGTTTTCTGTTCTCCTTCACATCTTTCGAATAAAATTTTTGACAGTCCTCGCCGCAAAAGCAAAATACATGTACATTTTGTTATTGTCGTACCGATACCAACTTATTGAATACGCCTTGGCATCAACTTTGTTTCTGATGCGCTGATTGCTCTAGCGATGCGTTACGATAACTTTTCGAATGCGTTTTGGAAAAGTATACAATGTCAATATTTTTTAGTTCGGCGTTATGGGACATTATACTTTGTACGTATGCAACGGTTTGGAAGTCAGCCATATTTTGAGTTACATAATACAATCATTTATAAGTATAAACAAATGTTGTCAGACATACCAGCGGCTCTAAGGATTTGCTGTCCAATTTATTTGATTGTTTCCTGATTTTATTTACGCATGTAAGAATGTATGTATGTACACATCAGTTATTTGTCTTGCTTTCTTCATACTACATTTTCCAAAAACACAAAATTATTTTGAACGAGGTGCGTATCAATCAAAAGGAATACTCCTGGATTGCTCATCGCTTTTTGCACCTAAGCGGGTAATAACGCAGTACAAAACCGACAAATCTCAAATCTTAAACATCCGAAATCATGCCTCTGGGAGGATTCTTTTATTGCTCACTTGGGAGATCTCCCATTATGCTCCTAAGCGAGTAGGTAAAACCGACAAATCTCGCTTATTGCTCCCAAATCATGTCTCAGGGAGCTTTCTTTAATGGCTCGCTTAGGAGATCACCCTATTAACTCCTAAACGAGTAATAAAGGAGTACAAAACCGACAAATCACAAATCTTAAACATCCGAAATCATGTCTCCGGAAGGATTCTTTTACTGCTCACTTGGGAGATCTCCCATTATGCTCCTAAGCGCGTAGGTAATACAGGAGTGCAAAACCGACAAATTTCGCTTATTGCTCCCAAATCATGCCTCAGGCAGCTTTCTTTAATCGCTCGCTTAGGAGATCACCCTATTCACTCCAAGCGATAATAAAGGAGTTAATAACCGAGTACTCTTTTATTCCTCACTTAGGGAGATCTCCCTTCAAGTTCTAGTGGGTTCATATGTAAATACATATATGATTGGCGAAGCTCATAAAGCCATACTAATAAAAAAGTCCCACACACTTACAGCTCAACTTGCAAACAAAAGTTACTATTTCTCTCGATCTCGATCTCTATTACCTTACAATGTGTTCTCACCTATACAGTCGTAGCCTACAATCTTTTACGTTGCTAAAATAGCACTCATCTACATACATATGTATGTTCATATACATATATACATGTTTTCAAAAATAAGTTACTGAATTCTGTCAGTACCCAACCACTTGCTTTATTATTAAATATTCTTTGTGTGTGCACACCTCTCTGGTACTGACAAAATCAAGCCAGCGCTGTGATAAGTATGTACATTTATTTACAAACACGGATAATAATGAAATACATCCATACGTATCGCAGCCACCAGTAGTTTTTGATTCCGTTCTCGCTTTCAGTTAATTTGTGCTTGTAGTGAGTATCGAGCGAGCGCTGCCAGTAGATCTATCGGAGTCCGTATCTGAATCGTAGCTAAAGCTGGGCCCGTAACCGGAGACACAAACAAGGCCAGAATCAGCACTATCGTTGTTCCGATTGATCGGATTCGGATCTACAGTTTCCCGCAAGCAACAAAACTTTTCCCTATTCATTTTTATTTTGACCTCGTGTACGAACGACGCGCGGTGGCGGTGGTGGTTGGATTCAGCCAAAGGGTTCTACTAAAATGTTGGCGTCAATTCGCTGTGCGAAGCATTGCTTCGTTGTATTAAAATTGCTCTGTTAACGTGTCTTAATAGTTCCGTGCCGCGTATACTGTCGATTTCCATTGCTCACAACAGTTATCTAAAGACCACATAGATATGTGCATATGTATGTATATACGCAAGCGGCAAATGTGCCTAAAAAGTATCAAGTGACGTGACGATTAAACCGATTTTTTGTGCGAGAATTTTAATAGAACTTTTACTAGTACATATAAGTATAAGTATGTACATACATATATGTATACATAAGTTTGTGTTAATGCAGATTTTTTTGTGTAATTAGCACTCGTACTATCAATTTGATGCTACTTTTTCATTTCAGGCGTAAATAGCAGGACATTGTTACCTACATACCTGCCCAATCACGCTGATAGTAAACATATTTACAAACATACACACAATCAGATAAGCAATTGCTGTATGTCTGCCCATCTGATTAAAACTTTGACGAAAAATCAACAATTGTAAAATCGTTAAGTGTGCGAATACATAAAAATAGTTACAGAATCTAACTAAATCGCCATTAAAATCACGTTCTTACTAACTGGGCGTGCTCACAACGACAACGTCAACAAAACAACAGCAATAACAGTTGCGCGACAGCAACAGTTACAACAAAAATTACCGCAGAGTAAACAACATAAGTGTATTGAAGTAAACTTTATCAAATTAACAAATACAAAGTTGAATACAAAATACAAAGCCAAAAAGTTAAACACACACTAGCAGTGCAAAGATTACGCGAGCGACTATGTGTATAGTGTTGAATTATTAACAAAGCCAAAAACTCAAGTCAGAAAGTAAACGAGCGTTGCGCGAGTTGGAAATATTTTCCATACCACTTGTTCGGAGAATACAGTTCGTGTATCAATTTTCACAAGTGATCGTACAATTAACTTGAAATTTGTTAAATATAAAAAAAATATTTTAATAAATACATACATACATACATAGATCTTAAAGAATAATACAGACAAAAGTTTTAATAACTAAATAAAACGTATTAAACTCGTTTATTCGGTGTTTTTTAGTCGTCCCATGCGAGATAAGTCAATGCGCCGTCATGTTTTCAAGCATTTGACTAGACGCGAATAGCGATAAGCGCCTTATTGCCGTCTAATTACAGTGTTAAATTGCTGTAACGCCTACGCTAGAAACAACATTGCGAAAACTACCAGTTCAATATACCGAAAGACACAGTTTTTGAATCCAGCAATTGTGATAAAACAAACTTGCATATAAATAAATGGAGAAGTCTAATCACAAAGAACTCCGATTCCATACCAATGAGCACCAAGTGAGTTACATGTATCTGATAAACAAAATGCTGCTGAAAATCGAGAATACCCTACTGCGAAGCCATCGACAACGCGAAACCACTGGAATAAAGGAGCTATACAATTCCTTTTTCGTATTATTTTAAACAATCTAGCCGAAAATACCTTAAACTGTTTTAGTCAAACAGCATTCAGTGTCAAAATAAAATATTTAGCCAACATAGCAAGTTTGTTACTAGTTTGTGTTACAAAGTTATATGCACATATTTACTGTTAAAAAAAAATAATCAAAAAAACACAAAAAAAATAAAAAATAAATAAAAATGAAATAAAAAAGAGGGACGCAAAATTAAATTTGGTTGTTAGTAAAAGCAAGTAATTTCTCTGAAAGTGTACCTCGAAATTGCCATATTAAAGCAAAACAAAATAGCCATAATTATTTTAAGATATGTGTGATTAAAAAATCTCAAAGCAGTTATCATTTTGAGTCTATAAGCAGTGACGTCGCTCGTCAGAAGTTGACCCTCCTAGCTGCTACCAAGCAATTCAGTTTTTTGTCGCGTCGGAAAGAAATAACAACAACGTAACTAAGCGGAAATATATATCTTCTGGGTTTTTATCGATATATCACGTTAGTCCGATTTGAAAATCTCGTCTTAAATTAACAGTTTTTCTACGAGTGTGCGTGCGTGAGTTGATATCCTTAGGATACCTACAATACCGAATGGCGCTTTCGCTGCTCTCACATCAGCAGCAGCCAAATTATTTCGATTTGCAAACATTATTCGATCCATACCCATTGCAACAACAACATCAACAATCACCTTCCCACCTGCAGCAACAACAACAGTATCATCATCAGCAGCACATCCAGCAACAGCAGCAGCAACAACAAGATTTAACGGCGCTCAAAAGCACCAGTATCAGCGCTGTGGCATCGAAAATCAATCCGACGACGGGAATAACTAATTTTTGCGCGGATCAAATGGAATACGCAGCCAGCAATCTTCACCAGAATCACAACCATTATCAGCAACAGCAGAATAACAATAGTAGCGACAACAATAACAACAGTGGTGTCAGTTCCATAAGTAATAATAGCAGAAAAATTAGTGGCATTGCACCTACAAATAATAACAGTCAGGTAAGAGATAAAAACATTCTCAAACACTCATACACACGAAAAAAGAATAAGAAATAATTAAGTTTTTGATATGCAAAAACATATCCTTTGTTTGCTGGTAGAACATCATCAACTAAATACATAAATTTAAAAAATTAATGTATGTAAGCATGAATAAAAAGCTGCTTTGACGTTATGTAAGGAATTATGTCTCATAATAAGAAAATTGAGTCGGTGGGTTCGACAACCGTTCAAGTCCAAAATCGGTTTTTTGTTGCTGAGATCCAAAACAGTACAAGTCACGGACATGTATGCGCTGTCTCCTCATTTCGAGGGTGCAATCAGCTGTGCTACGTTAACGCCTAAAGCTTAGGTTTCCTCGAAAGCGACCGTTATTTTACGTTGTCTTGTAAATATTACCAGATGCCAATTAAGATGACGGCTATACACACCGTAAGGTAATGTGACTCCTTCTTTTTTATTGGCGCTGTAACCGCCTAAGCGATTTTGGCGGACTCCAAAACAGCACGCCAGTCATTTCTCTTCTGTGCTAACTGACGCCAATTGGATTTGCCAAGTGAAGCCAAGTCTTTCTCCCCCTGGTCTTTCCAACACAGAGGAGGCCTTCCTCTTCCTCTGTTGCCAGCATCGCGGCCCGGGTTGAATACATTCAGAGCAGGAGCATTTCTGTCTATTCGAACGACATGGCCAAGCCAAAGGAGCCGCTGAATTTTAATTCGCTGCACTATGTCTATATCGTTGTAAAGCTCATACGGATCATCGTTAAACCGTCTGCGGTATTCGCCAGCGCCAATGCGCAGAATCTTTCTCTCGAAAACTCCAAGGGGTGCTTCATCAGATGTTTTCGTTGTCCATGCCTCCGCGCCAAAACCCAGCAGAGGCATAGAGGCATGATGAGTGACTTGTAGAGTGTGATCTTTGAACGACGAGAGAGGACCTACTTCTCAATTACCTACTCAGTCTAAAGTAGCAACTGTAGGCAAGAGTGATTCTCCTTTAGATTTCAAGGCTGACATTATTATTGGTGTTAATGCTGGTTCCCAAATAAACGAAGTCGTCTACTTTTTCAAACTTGTACCTGTCAACAGTGACGTGTGGGCCAAGACGCGTATGCTCTGACTGTTTGTGTGATGACAGGAGATACTTCGTTTTGTCCTCGTTCAGCACCAGACCCATTCGCTTTGCTTCTCGATCCAATCCCGAGAAGGCAGAACAGACGTAGCCCTTGTTTTTACCAATAATTTCGATGTCGATGGCATTCTCCAGCAATCGTGCGCTCTTTTAAAGTATTGTGCCTGAGCGGTTCAGTTCTGCGGCTCTTATTATCTTGTCCAACATCGGGTTAAAAAAATCACACGAAAGGGAGTCACCTTGTCTGAAAACTCGTTTGGATTCAAACGGCTCGGAGAGGTCCTTTCCAATTCTGATTCGGGCCCAGGCGAAGTCGACCAGCCTCAGTCCGTTATCGGACTTTTCGTCGTGGAGTCTGAATTTTCCGACAGTGGCAGTGTTGCCACTTTTGGTCTTTTCTCGCCAAATTTGGTCGCTTCTTTTTTATTTGGTAGCTTGGTAGTTAAAGTAAGATTTTGGTCGGATGGTTAAATTAAGTTTTTAAGTTCTTAATTATAAAAATTATATTTCAAGCATCATTTTGCATATAAATATTCGGCACTTGTACTTTTAAATATTTGCCAATGCTGCCTTTAAAAATAAGAAACCTAATTGGTTTGGCAACTGATGGAGTCAATGTTACGCTAGAGACTTGGGCAGGCTGAAAACATTATTGAGTACAGAAACCGATTTATTTTATATAAAATGCACATACCACACACTTCACCTTTACTCAAGCTACGCTTGTAAAAAATTGCCGATAAGCATTGAGACACTGTACCGCAACATATGTGTTTCTTTTCCAACAGCGCAAAGAGGATACGTGAACTGGAGGAATTTCAGGACTACTGTTCGGTAAAACTCCACAAAATCTTGGGCATATCTCAAACACGATGGCTTTCACTAGAAAGCGTTGTGTTAAGAATAGTTGAGCAATGGGATAGTTTGAAATTTTGTTTTACTTCCTGCTTTTATGAAGTAAACGATATGCGATCTGCAGCCCTGGCAGAAGGAATGTGTTGCAAAACCAAATGCTATTTTTTATTTTTATCGTATATTTCTTCCATAATTAACAATCTTAACAAAGAGTTCCAAGCTGAAAGCTCTAGTTTGCCATACTTATATGCAACTATCAAAGCACATTATCTCTTAATTTTAAGTAACTTTATTTAAAAAGATGCGATCAGTAATAATATTAATACTGATTGTAAAAATGAAATAATCACACTACGTTTTTGTTGGAATGAAAGCGGAAATGTTTATGAAAAGTAATGTCAATTGTTCTTAAACTCTTGAAGTTAAAACCAATATATTAAAGTTTTGCATAGAGTTCTTGGACCAAATAAATTTAGGATTTGACTTCAAGTGTGCAGATATAAAACTTTTACAAATAGTTAATAACTAAGATAGTTTCTAAAGAAGATTTACAAATTTTACCTCTTTTGTTTTGTTTTGAATTTACTGAGCCTAAGTGGTCCAGCAATCTGGAAATTGATATGTTTTGGGAAAAAGTATATTCTATTAAAAATGAATGACAATAGCTTCATGCATCTCGCCAATTCTGTTTTTTATATAATTTCACTAGCCGACTCCGAATTCGCAAGGCTTTGCCACGCGCTGAATGCGTAGATATTAAATAAGATACGATTGACAACTAAACAGGTTGCAACCCTACTAAAAAATAATGTATAATTGCGCATCTGGAGGTCAAGCCCTTTCATATGATACCTCATTTCCTGTAATCTAACGAACAGCCCACATTTTTTAATTTTTCACACAGGTTGCAACCCTCTTCCAAAAATAAAACCTTACTGTAAATCGTAAGGTCAAGCCTTTTCCTTTCAACACCTCATTTTTTTAATTGACTGAACTGTGCAAATCTAATGTCATTAACAAAAAATGCCCTCGCGTATTATAGATACATAATTTTTAAATAGGTGGTAACCCCACTCAATCAAAAAATAAAAACTTATTGCTCATGCAAAAACCATATCCTTTTATTTGGTACCTCAGTTTTTAGTCCAACAAACGGTGAAGATCTTATAATTTTTACTACCCAAAAGGCCGAGCCCTTTTATTTGACACCTTATATCTTGTAATCCAAAGAACAGTACAGATCTAATAATTTTTTAGACTGGTGGCAACCCTATAGGAATTTAAAGTACTAAAGATATTATTCCTATCGATACAGATTAAACTTAAAAAATCTCGTATAAACCCATTCAGTGGTTTTTGAGATTAGCGTGGTCAAAATATGAGAAGGCTTTGGGGGCTTTCGAGAGAACTATTCTACGCAAAATCTACGGCCCTGTTTTCGTGGATGGCGGATATCGGAGAAGATGGAATGAGGAACTGTATGAGCTTTTTAACGACATGGACATAGTTAAGCGCATAAAAATACAGCGATTGCGTTGGCTTGGACATGTTGTACGCATGGATGACGACTCTCCGGTGAAAAGATCCTTCGACTCCGCACCCATGGGTGGACAACGAAAGCAAGGGCGCCCACGAACGCATTGGAAGGACCAAGTGCAGAAGGACCTGTCTGCGCTCGGGATAACCAACTGGCGCAAATTCGCGCAGGAGAGAAGCAATTGGAAAAGCTTTTTGGTCTCGGCCCAAACTGACAAACGGTTGTAGTGCCAAATAAGAAGAAGAAGAAGTGGTCAAAATATCTCGACTTTCCTTTATACTATGTACAGAAGATAGTAATTCTTAAATAGATGGCAACCCTATTAAAAAAATGAAAGCTTTTGTACATGCGAAGACCAGGCCCTTTAATTTGGTATCTCATTTTGCAATCCAACGAATGGCACATGTTCGGTAGTTTTCTAGATTACCGCGTACAAACATTCTCGACTTTCCATTATACTATGTATAGACCACATAACTCTGCGGATGCAGAATGCAAATTTTTAACGCATTCTTTGATAAAAACTAAACTAAGAAATAAACTTAAGATTGACAGTATCAATAGCATAATGTTATGCAAGGAACTTGTAGACAAAAATGACCCGCAGTACTTTTAAGAAATTAAACTTATTGGCACATAAAATGTATGTATGTATATAATCCATACAACCAAAAATCGTGTAATTCTACTTCGCAAAGAGCGCATAATTTCCATTATTAGATGTTCAGTGTAATCAGTTAGTCTGTTCCAGTACTTCAAGATTTAGTTAGGAAGACATAACTGAAGAATGCATATTCATAGCCTAAATGAAGTAGGCACTAAAGTTAGTTGCTGCTTTTCGTCATAATTATCAATGAAATGGCGGCAACTAACTTTATAATCGACTTTGTTTCGACTATAAATATACCCCAATGTATGTACAAGAACGACTTGTCAGTAATTCCTGTAAATCTGATGGGTACTGGAACAGACTCATGAGAGCAATGAGAGTGGCATCTCTCTTTAAAAATGTAACATTGCGAAAAAGAAAAATTCTCCAGACGTCGCTGTCTTGCCCTGTCATGCGCTGCGCAGGATAATCGCTTGCATGAAAAGCCCATTAAACAGATTCGATATGTGGCAGACTCATGTTATGCGCTGCAGCTAGGGTTGCCAACGTTTTCAAAGAAATGTATAGTACTTTTCAAAAAAGTCTGAAAAAATATAGTACACTTCAAATATATATAGTATTTTTTTTTTAAGAAAAAGTAAAAATGCTTTTTAAGTGTACATCTTTTTTCTTTCTTATGCATTTCCTCTATAAAAAAATATATTTCTTTGCAAGTGTCGTATGCTTTATCGCTACACTGAGGGGAAAAAATATTAAAATCAAATAGAAACGTAATTGATCTTACTATAAAGGTCAACGAAAATACTGTATATCGGTAAATATTCAATTCAATTATGCGCATATTAAAATGACCGCGTTCGTTCTGAA